CTCTCGCACTATGGGACTTATGGTCAAAAATGAAAAGTATAACTGGAAGAACTTGGCAACTAAGATTTCGTACATCCCTCGCCAACTACTTTAGTTCGTACTACATACATTCACAGAATTATGTCTCCATGAAGGCTCATGAATCTGTTGACGACTACGTAAAGTTAAGAAGAAACACAGGTGCTGTACAAGTTACGTTCAATTTTATCGAGATCGCACTCAATATTGAACTTCCTGATAAAGTATACAATGATCCGAGCTTTCAATGCCTTATGGACAATTGCAATGATCACGCCTGCTTTATAAACGATATTTATTCCCTAAAGAAAGAACTTTTGGTCGGTGATACAGATAATCTAATTTTAGTTTTGAAAATTTTATCTAATTATTCCTTGCAAGAAGCTGTTAATGATGCAGTGAAATTGGCAAATCAACGAGTTATTCAAATACGAGAAAATATCTCTAATTTATCAGATTTTGGTCCAGAAATGAATAAAATTGTTAATATGTACTCTGAAGCATTAATAGATTGGCTTGCTGGTTCCTTCTACTGGCATCAAATTTCCGGTAGATATGCTGTAGGTGATCATGCTACTAGGAAATATATGGAATCCTACTTGGAACCGATTTTGGCACATGACAAGAAACACCTTACTCGTTGAAAGTATACAGTAAACTTTTTGACTAAATTTAAAATTAGCCTTACTCCCAATCTCAATTTAATTTATTAATTTCTACCTATGATGGTAATTGCTTGTTAATAAATAGATTTGTAATTAAAAAAATTATAAAATTAGATAGATGTATGTGTTGAAAAACTCATGGATTTCCGATGGATATCTATTTTTATCTGGCGGACATTTCTTTGATAGATATCGATATTACTGTTTTTCGATTTCCTTATTTAGAAGCATATTTAAAGCAGGTCTATGGTTAGGGCTAGGGTCAATGAATGAGTGGGTATAATATGTAAAATTACTCCCCAACAGGTTTAGGCACTATTGTATTTTCTTGCTTCGTAAAAATTTGCGATTTTGATTGGTTAATCAATGTAGATCTCCTATTTAATAAAAGTTAGGGTAAGGGCTAGTTTGGGTTAGGGTTAGGGCAGCCTTATAGTAAAATTTCCTTCAGGACATTTTTTTATTAATGCCCGAGACAGGTTTAGACACTTGTTTCTTGTATGTTTCTCTTTGGGCTGATCCGTGTCGATTAAAATAAACAACTTTCTTGGCTCTGTATCACGTGATTGGAAACGAGGAAATTGAAAAATGTTGCAGTAATATTGGTCACCTGAGATTAACCATGTAGAACAGATTACCGGAATTTTGTGGTGCGGGGTGAATTAAAGTTAATGTCAATATTACTGTATCGGTGTTTCGGCATTTAATTATTTAAAAATGCAATTATTTGCAATTATTTAATGCAATTATTTAAAATGTAATTATTATTTGTTACACAACAATTATAATTGATTTCGGTATTGTGCAAAACCTTTATCAGTTATAGGCACGTGACCGGTAGACCCTTTTAAACTTACTGTAAACCACCAAAATATCAAAAGATTGCATTATATACTTTAAATACGATATCTATCATAAAGTGCTGACAAGGATTAAAGATATACCTGGACAAAATTTTCATTTCCTTAACAATTTTCAGAATTTATACCCCACCGGCTATTTTCCAAAGTATAAAGTTAATTACATAATATATATGTATATATTCGGCTATAAATCATATTTTAGCTTCAAACCATTCCCACTTATGGTGTTATTATCGTAACATGATTTTTAATTCTGCGCCACTATGATACAAGTTTATGTTCCTCAAACCGTCAACCGTATACGTAACCAATATCTGACATTCCATTTGCTCATCTATTCTATAATTGTATCCCGATAGTTTTCTTATTACCATATCTAGTTATTCCCTATTCCTTATTCATACTCCTATACACCTAGTTTATTTCCATATTCAGATAACGCAATGTTTGCAATTTCTTGCGGCCAAACAATTTTGTTGACCTTTTGCCGGCCAAAATAGGCAACGGCCAATGGTCCAAACTTCGGCCAAAAGTTTCTAATTTATATAACATTAACCAATCATATTGCTAGTTTTCTATATAAATATTTGGCCATTTCGGCCAAATAATTTTTTTTGCCCAATTCGGTCAATGGCCAAGTGACAACACTGCAGATACCATATTAGGATCAACCATCGACGCGTAAGGCATAATCGTTGATATCTAATACATGAATGATGCTACGATCTAGCCCTACTGCCTTTTTCTAGTTTTACTGCGGTTCCCAAACTAGAAGTTATGAGGTTGAATCCCTTGAGATCACGATGGAGTAACTGGTCATCAAACGGGTCACTAACGTTTGATCATAATGCATTTACTTATTATAACGCTCTATTAACCTGACAAAGCTTTTACCATTGATTGAGTATTTCGGAGGGAGTCTTGAATTGGATAAAGGAGCGAGGAGTAGGTTTTATCGGTATTGATAGGAAATAAGGATTAGTAATAGAATGGCGTTGTATTAGTATCGGGGGAATCTAGTTGGCATGTAATTATAAAAGCTCTTCGAATTCGCCTTGCTTGTACTGAGAGATTCTACCACAGACTGCACTTAGAGGTTCTATCTGAAGTAGTTTCTCCTTTATAAATAAAGACCTTCAAGCGTCCTTATATTATATCGTATCTTATGATTATATTATGCACTATCATATTATACATTATCTTATTCTCGCATGCTTCTTTACTTATCCCGTGACGTCTGTATCTATTTACACATATACTCGTTATTTATTATTTACTCACCGATTGCATACATCTACATGCACTTATCCCATATTCGTTAACAATCCTGGGTTATCTTGACACCCTTGTATCCCGACTTGATAGTTACAATGGCATCTATTTATATATTAGTCTCTGGAGGTTATGCAATGTTAACGGGAATCCTATCATCAGGGCTTTAAATGATTATTTGCCGAACACAATCCTAAGTCCGGTAAACAGGTTTTTTGCGGCACCCATTTCTTATCATATAAATCCGTTGTTTGACGACGGCCCTGATACCTAGTACTAATAATTGACCGCGACATTTTTATGGCACCACTAACCTATCTGAAAAAGGTCATCGGACTTTCAATTATGTTTTGTGTACAATTAGCCGTCTATGAAAAATCTATCATAATGATGGATTTCCATAGACAGCTAACTGTACACAAAATATAATAGAAAGTCTGATGACAAGTTTTCCCTTGGTGGCACTCATATAATATGTATACATTATTCGGCAAAAGTTTTTGAATAACGGTAATTTGGTTCAACCAAGCAAATGAACACGGCACGTGTCAACCAATTATTTGCCCGGTTGAACCAAATTACCGTTATTCAAAAATTTGCCGAATAATGGTCGAGGTGGGACCGTTAATGTTACACAACTAATCCCACACACGGTGTGATCAATTTAAAATAGAATTATTTATGTTGAACTCAATTCTATAGTCTATGTGATAAATATAATCCCTCACTGGTTTTAAAATAACAGTCCCTCCTCGAGAATAATGGTGTTATCCGACAATTTATGATCATGATTGGTAGGGAGTTGTCGGCTGACTTTTAATTCGAGTAAACGTAACACATGAAAAAAATAACAGGCAGAAATAAATTTATGATTATAACGATAAGAGTTTGTCGGATAAAGTATACTTAATTTATAAACTGGTTTTTATATGATAATCTACTTTAAACTAAATTATGCATCAATATTATATTATTATACATCTAATTATAAGTAATTTCAAGTTTTTTTTTATTGTTAAAACAAAAAATCCTATACATTAATTTGATTCTTTACCTGCTTATTAAATATTGAATCAAATACTTAATAGTTAATTTTTAATAATGATAAAAACTTATAATTTTTATAATCTTATAATTAATAGATTATGTTTACAAAACTTGAATATAAAAAAACTATCGTATTTACATATTTATTCATTACATAATTATTAACTATCGCCTTAAATTTTACACCCACAATTTATACATATGCAAGATTTAATATGTGGCTTTAATTTATTTTATACTAAATAAAACTTATAACATCATAAAATAGTTTTTAATTAGAGATTATACAAAAATAATGGCATTGTATCTAAACAATAATACAGTTTTTAATCAAAGATATTCAAAAATTATAATTCTATATTTAAAATAAAGTATTACTTTTAATTATTAAAAACTATACAAAAACAATGGATTTGCAACGGATACGAATCATTTCACCGACAATCATTTCACCGACATCTTAGTTCACCGACAATTAATTCACC